TATCTGGAAAACAACGTAAAATCTGACTTCTAAAGCATCCCTTCTCCAAAATAAATCCCAGAAGAACCAAAGATGGACCAGGAAAGATTCCAAAAAAAAAAACTTATAGGAATGTTCTACTGCTGTTAACCATCTCAGAGTGGGAAAGGTCTTTCTTGCCTTCTTAAATATGACTGGAAAATTGGACTACTTAATTCTAAAAGCTATCTTCATGGTAAAATAAAAAAAAAATAAGTGAACTAAAAAGTAAAGGACAGAAAATAAAATCTTTGTGACACATTACACCTATAATGTGTGCCTAAACACCAATAAAACAGCCTACAAGGGCTGGGGTTGTGGCTCAGTGGTGGAGCACTTGCCTAGCGTGTGTGAGGCATGAGTTCAATTCTCAACACTGCATGTGAATAAATGAATAAAATAAAGGCTCATCGACATCTAAAAAAATAAATAAGCAGGTGTTGAATAAGGGGGCCTCCAAACTTCCACTGGTGGGGATACAATCCATATGCTCTTTTCCAAAATGAGAGGCATGTGCCCCTGGGCTTAACAATTCCACTTGTGGGAATTCAGCCTGCAAGTACATTTGCAGGTGTGCGTGGTGGTGTTTGCATCAGGCTCTTTACTCATCATTGTATATAATAAGGAAAGACCATGGATAACTCAAATGCCCGTTTGCAGGGGCCTGCTCAGTCATGATGATCACCATGATCTGTCTCCGTTCAAAAGGATGCAGAAGATTTTGGTGTTGATATGGAAGCATCACCATGAAATATTAAATACTGCAAGATTCTGAGTAAGAGGGACGGACATTGTATCAGTCAATGTTTGCTGTAAGAAAAAAATGAAGAACCTCTCTCTCTCTCTCTCTCTCTGTCTCTCTCTCTCTCTCTCTCTGCTTGTAAACCTATAGGATATCTCTAGAAAGACATAGGATAAATAGCTAACAGTAGGTGTTTAGGGAAGGAAACCTGGGCACGGGGGTAGAAGGGACACTCACTTCCACATTTTGCACCTTTAGTGTTTTAAAACATTGCTCTATAAGGACACTTATTTCTATATGTGACCTGGCAATGACCACCACACTCTAAGTTCTCGTGAGGGTATCAGATGCTCACTTCTACTGAGGATGAATGTGTTTGGGTTTAAGAACTGATCAGAGGGAATGCTGTATGAAAAGTAAAGAAAGATGAATGAGCAGGTAGGGGGAGATGCTCACGTGTAACCACTGCTGGGATAAGAAGAACAGGACTTTGTAGAGGAAAAGAGATAGAACCAAATGACCTTAAGTAAAAAAAGAAAATAGAAACAAAATATGAATAATCCTAGTAGAAAAAAATTGGGAAATGTGTGTTTTTTTTTTAAAATTTTAGATGAGCTATATGTCTATACTGTCTGTATGATACTAAGGAGTCATACAAGGTGTGGGGTCATAACAATCCATTGTGTAGGATGGTCCCCCTGACTGCAGACCATCTGTCATGCCTGGCCCTGTCTTCTAAATGTCAGTAGCCCAGTGGCAGTCTTCAATAATGACAGCTAGAAAACACCCCACCAATTTGCAAAACCGTGCTGGGAAGATCCACCTGCTTCTTTCAAGTCTGAAAGACTCAAGTCAGCATGCCTCTTGCTTCCCTCCTTCCCCAGACTCCTCCAGTAGACTAGGAGGTGTGCTTGTCAGAGCTGGCTGCTGATAACAGGGCATATGCTGCCCCTCTGCATCCAGGTCTACCTTGCAAAGGGGCAGGGCTGGGGAAGAGGAGGGGGACCTGGGGGATGGAGAGAAGGGTCGAGGATGGGATCTGTTTTTGCTGAGGAGTGGATGTATTGTGAATGGGGAGGAGGTAAATGGTGAAAGTTTGGGGTTGCATGCCATTAGTAGGGAGCTGGGTGGCACTGACCCTGGGACATGTTTTCCCTGTGGCATGTGGCCACACCTGCCATGACCACTGGGCTGGGATCTCTGAATGGTGGACCCTGGACTTTGGCTCATGCCTGAAAGAGGGGCTTCCAAACAGGCCATGTTTGGGGAAGGGTAGTCTCTAGTTAGAAAGACTGCCATAGGAAGTAGGTCAAAGAGGCATGAGTTCTTCCTCCCAAATAGGGCCACCCTCGGGCTGAGGGACTCCTGCTTCCTCACCTGGCTGACTTTGCCCTTCCCTGGTCTGCTGATGAGGAAGGGCTGCAGAATCTGTTGTCAGCAGCGAGCTCCTGCCTGGGTGGGTTCTAAGTCAGGCATCCTGGTCTAAAAGGATGTAGTCAACCAGTCTGTCCAATAATGGGAATGACTTCTATTGAAAAATGCATCCTCTGTGTCCTGTGCTTGGGAATCCTGGGACCCATGATGGCCCCCCGCGACGACCCTACAAAGGTCTGGAGTTTGCCTCAGGTCCTTCAAATCCATCCAGCCTGAGACGTGGCCCACACCCCTTGACTCTTACTCACAGGACTGCATTGCCAATTAAAAACAAGCAACACACACGAAATTCAGTGGTGGTAGTTAAATTCAGTTTCGTGCCCTAGTTAAACCCCATTTCTTTTCCTCACCCTCTGCCCAGTCTTCTCCTTGGGTTGAGGAACTTCCAGGGTGGTCTGGGGCTAGGCGCCCACTCTACTTTTTCATTTCTTTCCCTCTCTTGCTCCACCAGGGTTGCAGTTTAAAGATATGAATGGACAGGGGGAGAGAAAACACCTGCTTACCCCATTGGGGTTGGCCATTGGCGTGGCTGCCGGGCGTCAATGCCTTCATTTTGGCAGCTGTCGAGTGGTGATATCTAACAGGGCACAGGAGTTCTTTTGGAGGCTTCTGAGGCCTCTTGCTCCCCATTTCAGCTCCCTCTCTGGATGCCCACCCCATGATCCTTTTATTATTGGGTCCACTCACTTAGTAGGTCTGCTATTTTGGGCCAGGTAAGGCGGACACTTGCATAGTATACTTTGGTTCACAGAAACGGCCGCTTCTTTGGCCATTATTAATGCTGGAGTCTTAGGTAGCCCACCGCCTCTCTCCCTCTCCTCTCCTCTCCTCTCCTCCACGCAGTTGTCTGTACTTCTGCTCAGGGAGTGATGGAGCATTTTAACAGGTAATTGACACCCGTCTTGGGAATGTAATAATAATAGTGATAGCAAATGTTTACATAGGCCTTACTGCACGCCTCGCTCCCTTCTAAAGTGTCACCCACGTGTCTTAGTCAGCTTGCCATCATGAACTTCCTTAGCCCAGGTGACTTAGAATCAGAAATTCATGTTTTTATGGCTATGGAGGCTGGCAGTTTGAGATCAGGGAGGTGACAGGTTGGGTTCTGGTGAGGGTGCCCTTTTTGGTTTGTAGACCCCTCATGGGGTATCCTCTGTTATCTCAACTTTACCGGCGTATAGAGCTGTGGGAAGCCTGGGCGCCGTCATCCGGGTGACACTGCTGGGCGGCAGCAGAGCTGAGGCCCGAGCACAGGAAGGCTAGCATCCTTAGCTATCCTTGAACCCCAGCAGGTGCTGCTGCTTTGGTCGCAGCCATTCTCAGCCAGTGCCCCCCATCCTCTGCTATATCTTGGGCCTGAAATGTCCCCCAAAGGCCTGTGTGTCAGAGGCTTGGTCCCAGCTTGGCAGTATGGGCAGGTGGTGGGACCTTAAATGGTGAGACTTGTGGGAGGCCTCCGGGGCTTACCCCTGAAGGGGATAGCGGGATCCAGTCCCTCTCTCCCTCTCTCTCTGTCATACCTGACCATGAGGTGACCAGGCCTCCTCCATGATGGGTTGCCGCCACCATCTGCCAAGCCTTCACTGGCCAAATGGGGCCAGTCTGCAAGGCCAAAATGAACTTTGTGTAAGTTGATTATTTCAGGTATTTGAGATAACAGGAAGCTGATTTGCATGCTCCCTACCCTCATGGGAGGGGAGTAGAAGGCTACAATATACCTCAATAAACTGGTAACTCAGGACTCCCGGGCTAGCCTCCCTCCCGCCATGGCTCATAGGAAGCAAAGGTGCTCAGGGAGGGTGGCAGCAGAGTCACTTGAAGCAGACACGTGTGTTTATCGTTACCCGATGGGGTCTTGGTCGTTACTTCTGGGGTCCCAGGAAAAATTCCAATGTCCTGCAACATCTGCATGGGAGAGAGCAGGGCTGAAAGTCAAGCCCCGAAAACTGGCTCTATTTACTGGAGGTAACAGAGACAGGAGAGCAGGTCGACTTGACAAGATTCAGAAAATTCAATTACATGTCATTCCTCTGCTCAGAGCTCCTAAATATCCCATTACCAGCACTCTACGGTCCGAACTCTTAATCTGGTTTCACCCTATTTTTCCCAAGTACTTCCTGCCTCCGCCCAGAGTGGAGTGTTCAGCCCAGGCCAGCAGCTCCGCTCAGCCACTTCAGAATCCCTGTTTTCTGTCCCCACTTTAAGACTGTGTGCTTCAAATGAGCTAATGGATCTGAAAGCCTTCTAAGTCGCATGTTGTACACCAGCCACCCAAACCAGCAACTTCAGTGGCTCCGTTTATAAAGCATCTCAAATGACTCCTCATAGATTCCCTCTGAGTTGGAAATTACTGTTCCCATTTAACAACTGAGGATGCAGAGTCTCACCTGGTCAGTAAGAGCCTGAGATGTTAGCAAACTCAGAGCTTCTGAAACCAAATCCCATGCTCCTCCTGTTAGTCTCTGGAAGGCGGGGGGATGGTGGAAAGGAAGAGGGAGCAAAGAGGAATAGGAGACACTTTATCTCTGATTTTTGTGGTTGGCTTAAAGAATGGAGGAACTGCTGGGAGGGGTGAGCTAAGCAGCCTCTGGATACCTCGATTTATGAAGGCCATGCTGCAAACTCATGGATCTTTGGATCTCTGGGTGAGAGAACTTTTATATCTATTGATAAACACAGTGAAGAGAGAGAGAGAGAGAGAAAGGAGTGGGGGATGGAATCTCTGAGGTTCAGAGTGCAGGGAAGATAAAAGCTTGTCGGACACTCAATCACTGCTTCTAACGATTGCCAAACACCTCCATCCTAGGATGAGGTCTCCTCGGGTCTGGCAAGCCTGTGGACACGACCCCGGCAGCAAACATTCTCTGGGCTAATCACTTCTCATGGATTATCTCAATGAATCCTCCTCCCAACAACCTGCAAGGTAGGTGTTAATATTAGCCACACTTTACCCAAGGAGAAAGCTCCACACAGCTGTCCTTATCATCCGTCCTTTAATTACTCTGAATACAGCTGGTTATGCAGATGTGCTCACAGTCAACTTCCATTGTTTCCCATGAGGAAATGGAAACAGAGAGTCAGGTTATGGCAATTCATATAGAGATGACCTCTGCTTAGCTTGGGAATGTATCTCTTGGCCCTGGGCTTGAAAACAGCGGTACCGGACATCTGGAGAGTTCCCCATGCAGTTGGTGGAAACCTGATGAAGGCATCTTGTGATGCTCTGACCCCAAAAGGACAAGTGTGTGTGTTGGGGAGGTGTCAGTCAGTGCTCTTCCTCTTATGGGCTTTTGATGCTGAATACGACTCTGATTACCTCTCAGTACCAACATCCCCTCTTCTTCCCTTCTCCTGTCTTCTCACACTTCTTCTCAGCATTAATGCTGACAACCATCACTAAATAGAGGATTCCCCTGCACCAGGCTTCAGATGCATGTGCCCAAACCTCAGCAATGCTCTGGGGGACATGAGGTGGTGTGTGTGTGTGTGTGTGTGTGTGTGTGTGTGTGTGTGTGTGCGCGCTAAAATTGGTCCTACCAGCTCACACAAGCCAATTGCTCGATTTTCAGTAATCCAGTGAGCTGACTGTTAAACAGAGCTGTTACTAAAAATAAAATGATATGAACTTGCAATTAAACAACATACATTAAAAACAAAGGTAATAAACGAAACAAAGCCATTAAATATTTATCAGCACCCCACTGGAAGAGCCATTATCTTTATTTTACAGATGAAGAAACTGAGGTTTGGAATAAAGCCCGTGTAACATACCTGGGAAGGGGCCAAGCAGAGAGGCAAATCCAGGTTGAGCTAGTCTCCAAGAAGCTGGCCTAAGGTAGCTGCATTGTACCCCCATCCTGCTGTGGGAGTGGGGGAGGCCGAGAGACTTAGTTCTACTAGGTCTGGGGATTGAACTCAGAGGCACTCGATCACTGAGCCACATCCCCAGACCTATTTTGTATTTTATTTAGACAGGGTCTCACTGAGTTGCTAAGTGACTTGCTTTTGCTGAGGCTGGTTTTGAACTTGCGATCTTCCTGCCTCTGCCTCCCAAGCCTCTGGGATTACAGGCAGGTGCCCTCATGTTTGGCTCCACTAAGTCTTGATCTCAGGTTAGTGGGTGAATTGCTACTGCCACTCCCAAAGAGAGACTGTAATAGCTGATTTGTCTCCTCTACCTATGGTTAAAAAAATCATGCCTAAAGTTTGCCTGCTGCCATGCTGGGAGAGCAAGCAACAGGTACCCCTACTTGTTATAAACACTCATTTTCTCTGGAACCTCTTCTGCCCGTTGGGCAATAACACTCTAGAAATGTTCAGAGCCACAAAGCCTCATCCTTAGCAGATAAATCCATCTATTAAAAGAAAGAGGGCATTCCAACTCTTTGAAAAAGGACAAGAACAAGTGAGGACTATCTCCAGGGGTGGTGGAAATGGTAAGAGAAGGCAAAGAGGAGGTATCTGGAGATTCTTCTCTGAAAAGCTCCAGATCCATAAATATATCCACGGGAATGCAGGACAAAACATAATGTATAAAAGATTGAATAGAAGATATATTATGCTATTGCATAGCAATCCTGTCTGCAGGAATTTATAGCTTCGATATATTCCCCATTAAAAGTGGTTCAGCTAGCCGGTAGAGAAGCTCAATTCATCTCGCATCTGTTGCAAGCCATCAATATTATGGTTTACCCATTTAAACTGGAAATGGGACCAAATATTTGGGCTATTTATAATAAAAAAAATATGAAAATCTTTGTATTGGTGTTCATCTCCTAACTTCTTCAGTTTAATCAGAAGTTTGTTTACATAGAGCTCAGAGGAAATTTCTCACCTGTGAAATTGCTAGGATCCAAGGGGCCGTAATGAGAAATAATCCTGCATCTTTCCCCAAAGAGCTGGGCTTGTCCCTCTCTCTTGTTGAGTAGTAGCCCCAATAAAGCCCCTTAGTCCACAGGAAAGGCCAGAGGGGCCTTCCGCCTGTAAGAGCTTGCATTCAGAGTAAGGAAGGCTGAGCAGGCTGCAGGGTAGAAATGGGTATGTGTCTGAAGAGCCAGCTGTGGTGGTCACCCTGGAGGCCACCACACCTGGGACAGTCCCACACCATGAGAAGTTGTGTGCCTTGGCACCCAGAATGGTGCTCCCCAGGGCCCTCTCTCCTGCTCTTCTACTCTGAGCTTTTGCCTCAGTTCCAATACCTGCCTTTGACCCACCTCGAGGGTTTGAGCTCCTTCCATCCATTTCACCTGGCCCTGGAATCTTGACGCTAAGCGCTTGAATTCCAAGGAAACCCAAGGCCCTGAGGGAGAATCCCACCAACAGCTTGGGTTGTCTGAAATCCACAATGGCCCTGTGAGCCCCTGTCCAGGGAAGGATGAAAATAAGGACTAATTTCTTCGCTCATCTGTGCCTCGACCCTTGGGCCTCCATTCCATCTACTCATTTTGGTAGGGTCCTATCTGGGCAGCGCCTTCCTGCCAGAGGCCTCAGGTCAGAGGTACACAGGCAAAAGTCCCCTCCTCTGGGGCCATGTGCTCGCAATGTGGCCTGGGCGCTCCTGAAGCCCTGAGCCGGCAGGGTGGGGGAGGTCCCCCAGCTCAGCCTCCTTGTGTCTTCCTCTTTGAGACCTGCAGGGTGGCATTCTGCCCTTTGCACCCGTGCCAAGGGCTTTCTGGGCTATTTTTAAAAGCTCGCCACATTTACTATCTGTGCCACTCGTTTTGGTGGTTAATCATCACTGTCTGAAAGAGTCACCTCCTGACAGTTCCATGTGCAGAGAAGCTGCGGTCCAGTGGCGAAGCAGGGTGGCCAGTGGACCTGGGCAGGAGGGTCTCAGGCCTTTATGACCAGCAGCCCCAGAAGGAGAGTCAGGCCAGCACACAGACACGTGTAGGGGGCATGTGTACAACAGCCAGGCTACAGCCTTGGTTTCCCAGCGTAAAGTCTTAGCAGAGTCCCTTGGCCTCTCTGAGTATCCTTCTCCACCCCTGTGCAGGAGACCCCTGCTTTAGGCAGGTCAGGACTGTGGGCCATGTAGTCTCCCAGGCAGGGACAGGATTGGAAACATACCCTTGGTTTCTCTGTTCACATTCACTGTTCCCTGGCTAGAAAGATTAGGATAAAGATGACTGCTCATGACTGAGCATGATTTTCCTTTTAGATCAGCCTTCTCAGAAGAGGGATCTATTTTCTTTTACCATTTGTACCCCCATGCAGGCTGCTTGGTGCCCTACCCAGGCTCTGCTTACTTGTGCAGAGCTGGGGACTCTCTTCCAGCTGCTGGGGTGCCCTGGAGGGCTGGATAAAGAAGGGTCTGCCGAGGGAAACTGCTTCTCCTGGGTGGGAATAACTAATAATAAGAGGCCCCATCTTGGTCACAGGCCCAAGTCCAGTGTTTTAGCTTGGCCGTTAATAAAGCTGAGATTCTGGCCTGCCCTGGCTCTATTTGTCAACCGGTCGGAGCCTAGAAAGTGGGAGTCGATATCCCCCCAAGCTCGATGAATACTGACCTGGTAGGATGGCTGTGCGGGTTAAATAAATCACCCTGAACAATTCCTTCAATAAACACTGGCCGTTATTTAAACATATGGACAAACTGAGTGACTTGAGAGGTCATCTGGGTCGACCGTCTGATGGCAAACCCTGCCTTCCAAGAAGTTGGTCTCTGGAGTCCCCGTGTTCTGAGTGTCAATAGTTACCATCTTTTATTTTCTCAAAGCTGCTTTCATTTCAGGGTATGCAATTTATTATTTTATACATAATAAATGGATAGCATTTGTATGAGCTAGGCACTCTCCAGATGACAAAACGAAAGCACAGAGAGGGTGCTCAACCTCCCCCAGGTGGCTGGGCTGGAAAAAGGCAGGATTTATAATCAGACCTGGATGAGTGTGCTCCAGTGTGGATGCTCTTCATTATTCAGGAGGCTGAAGTCCTGGCCTCTCCTTTCACTCTGCCCCACTCCGTGTCCCAGGGCCTAGCAGGGGCCACCCACACCCTCTCCATGGGCACTGAAAGACTCTGCTGTCTGCATGACAGGACAAAGGAAAGAGGAAGGAATTTTTATTCTTTAAGCCAATATCCCCTGGCCTCCAGCAGTCCCTGTGAATCCCTCCCTGGAAGATAGAATTGACTAGAAACTTAGCTTCCAGACACTATGTGCAGAATATTTTCTGGCTATAAACTGGTTATCAGCACTTTCAGCCAGTCAGAGATTAAGTATTTACTGGATTTCTCCTCTGCAACCTCCCTCAAGAAAGCCTGCTCTGTAGTCCAATCCCCAGCACGGCCCATCTGGGGGTAGCGAAGCAGCTGATGGAGGGGAGAACACAGAAAATGAAGATGAATAGGCTCACCTGCTCCCTCCTGAGCACGCAAGGAAGGGTGGGTGCCAGGAGCCACCTTGTGGGGTCTTCAAGGTTGGGTTGTCACTTGTAATAGAGTGCAACGTGTGCAACACGCATGTGTCCATGTGTGGACAGCGGAGGTTGGCTTGTGCCCACACGTGCACATGCCTGTAACCCATGGGGCATCTGCACACACACCTATGCCCGTGCACAGGAGGCACATGGCTGGGTCGTGAGGACTTGAGAACCTCTTCACCTGTCCTGGCTGCCCCTCGATCTTTGCACTTCTTGTTGCTTTGGGGGGAGCTGGAGATGGGCTGAGGGTCTGTCTGGGCTAGAATCTTTATTGGAGATGTGCAGAGGGATTCAGTTCTAGAAATCTCTCTCTCTTTTTTTCCCTCCTGCTTATTTAAATCTGTTTTTAGCTCTGCTTGCTTGTGGAATTACAAGACTTTAAGAGAAACCTTGAAGAGGATGCTCTTGCCAGTGTTCTGAAGCATGCAGCAGCTCCACCTGGCCCTGGCCACCTCTGACCACTCACCCCCAGTGAGGCCGGCCATGTACTGACCCAAGCATGGGCGCTTGCTCTGGCCCCTGCCTTCCGGCATGTCATTCCCCATACCCGAACACTTACCTCAATCCTGGCCTCCCGTCTACATGCTGATCATCCTGACACGAGGACCTCTGTTTAAGGTGTCCACCCTCATGGAGTTTTGTCTGACCCCAGCAGCTCTCTTGACCTTTTCCTTCTTGAATTTATTGGCGCCCTACTGTTTTGAGTTCTGAATATGTCGTCTTACAGTATTGGCCTTCTTGCTTTACTTAGGTAAGTCCTGTCTACTGAGAATGAGGGAAGAGAGATGCTTTAGAGAGCAGCTCATGAGACCATGTGAACATTACAGTGGAGAAGCCGGGAGCACTACCCGAGTCCCATCATTAGGGTCAACATCAGCAGGCGGGGTCACCTGGGTAGTGTGTGTCCTTGATGTGACAAGGACAGCTCTTTGGCTCTGTGGTCTTCCTCCCCCAAACACCTAACAGTCCAGTCATGAGGAAAGGATCAGGCAAATCCAAATTGAGGGATATTACACAAAATACCTGACTTGTGACCCCAAACTGTCAAGGTCATCCAGAACAAGGAAGGTGTGAGAAATAGTCACAGCCAAGAAGAGTCTCAGGAGACACGTGGCTTACCATAATATGGGCTCCTGGATGGGATCCGAGGCCATTAGGTGAAAGCCAATACAATCTGAATCCAGTAGGGACTTTGGTTAATAATAATGTATCAATGTTGGTTCATTAGTTATGACTAATGTACTGTAAAACTTAATAATAGAGGAAACTGGATGTAGGGTAAATGGGAACATCTTTCTGACATTTCTTTAAAACTGTTCCAAAGTAAAACGAAAAAGTTTATTTTTTAAAAAAGCACAGTAAAAGGCTATGGAAGAAGAAAACAATTGTTAGCATGGACTTAATAGAAGTTGCACCAAAAGAAATATCTGTGGTAAAGAAAGAAAGAAGATAAGCTCCATCTCACCACACAGAGTGTCCTAGGTGTGAGCTTCTGTCCTGGGCACGTTAAGACACCTGGTCATACTGAGCCCTCCAACACCCTCCGAAGCAGACATCAAGAGGTTCTTTTATCATTTCCTTTTCCTTCTTTCTTTTCTTTTCTTTTTTTTTTTAATAAAAGAATAATAGACTCAAAGACTCCGTGACTTAGTCAAATCCAGAGTGTCAAGTCAAGACCAGGCTTCTAGTTGATGGCTGGTTGGTCCTAAAACCAGGCTTGCCCCACCCCTGCAAGACACAGCTCTGAATCTTCTCCGCTGTCTTCCCCAACAGCAAAAACCATGGCATGGACGTTCCCCACTCGTCGTCTCATTGTTATTCTTCCACGTTATTGGACACTTAATCTGTGCCAAGTTAATATTGCTGATTAAAGTAGATGAAACACATTACAAAAACTAGTACATTGCAGGCCCACAGGGGAATAAAAGGCTTTTGTTTTCTGTTTATGTATTTTTAAAAACAATGGAAATGAGCTAGGGAGGCTTCTTCTCCTGTGGAGGAACTTGGTCTTGGATCAGCTTCCTATCTACCGTGAATATTTATGTTCCTCCAAGTCCACATGTCGCAACCCAATCCTAATGCAAAGGCATTAAAAGGCGGGGCTCTGGGAGGGTGCTGAGTAGTACCCGAGGGAGCCAGTTGGCTCCTGTACCTTGAGAGGTAGCATCCGAAACACCATCTGTGGGAAATGGGTCCTCAATAGACACAGATCTGCTGCTTCCCTGGTCTTGGACTTCCCAGTCTCCAGAACCGGGAGAAAAGCATTCCTGCTGTTTGTGAGTTACCTCCCTTGTGATAATTTGTAATAGCAGCTCAAACAGACTAAAACACTGTTCAAACTCTGTAGCTGAGAATTCAGGTCAACCCCCTCTTGTTTTCCAAACGTCTTGTGAATATGTACCAGGCCTCCCCGACTGCACTCTAGGCTTCCTGAGAGTAGTACACGCTGAACTACACCCAAACTATCCCTTCTACAGGTTGGGTGTAGCTCAGCGTGTACAACAGGGTTCATTTTCTGCATTATCTTGCTGGTGAGACCTTGGAGCTGACGATGGGTCAGGGATTACACGGACAACATTTAACAGGCACCAGCCAATCAGAATGGACACTGGTCTTTGAAGATGAACTGCTCTGCTGCTGGTTGGGTGCCCGGCCTAGGTTATCTGAGGTTATGTGGGCGCTCACGAGCTGTCATGGTCCAGTTAGGCTGCTAGAAGGAACGCCAGGGACCAGGTGGCGTATCAACAACTGTATTTCTCCCGTTGTGGAGGCTGGGGAGTGCAAGACCAAGGCCCAGCAGACTGCATGTCTGGTGTGGGCTCACTTTCCCAAAGAAGGTGCCTTCTCACACAGCAGGAAGGGCCACCGAGGCCTCTCAGCCCTTTCTTCCTAAAGGTTCCTGCCCTGTTCATGAAGTCCCCACTCTCTTGGCCTAACTACCTCCTGAAGGCCCCACGTTCCCTCACCGTCATGTTGAGGGCTTGGATGTCACATGCAAATTTAGGGGGAAGGGGGAAAACCCATATCTTGAGGTCCCAGCAGGAACCATGACCACCAGGAGGGCCCCTGAATCTGAAATCTTCTCACCTTGCCCTTCGCTTTCTAGTGACAGCAAGCCTGGCAAGGCTACGGTGACATAGAGCCAGGACAGACTGTGAAGTCAGGCAAACAGTCTTGAGTTCCTGCTGTGACATGCTTGATGCCTATCTTTGTGTCACAAGGCTGAGTTGCTGTCATTGGTGATCCATCGGGTTGATTGATTAAGGCCCAGTTTCCTCGCTAGAGGGCGGCTGGGGGTGAATGAGTGAAATGGTGACCCAGCATGCCCGAGAACCACAGTGGCACACACTCTGTCACATCAAGCGTGGCTCCATTTCCTTGCCTGAGAAACTGGGCAATCACGTCTCAAAGGAAGTGAGGAGAACTAACCAGAAGTCACTTGGTTATTTGCCTACTATGCAGAATGTGAGGGAAAAGTCTGCCACACTGTAGGCGCTCAGTGCTGCTGATGGTGTGGGGTGTGCAGCCCCTTCAGGACCTGGGGACCTTGTGTCTGCGTTCAGAGGGTGCAAGCCTCTGCTCTCCGTGGCGCTAAGGCTGGTCTGTCCCTGCTTCTAGCTGTACAGAGTTAAGAAGAGGATGAGCTGAAGGGTGACGGTGGCCTCCGAGCAGAGAAGGGCAATTACCGGAAGTAAAGAGGCCAAATCTTAGAGTCTCAGAAGGCCACGTGCCTGGGAAGGGTTGCCGTGGTCTTTCCACTTCTCAACCTCCCTCTACAATGACAGTGACTACAAGAGCTGACAGAGACACCCTGGGCCAGTCCATGTAACAGAAGGTGACACTGAGGACCAGGAGAAGAGCATCCGCTCTGGGTCCAACAGCTAGTGTCAGCCAGAGCCCTGGCCCTGACTCCCAGCCTGGCTGCTCTCCACGGACCCTGCCTCTTTCCTCTTCCTGGCATTAGACACTGGAGAAATGGATTGAAACAAGATGTCAAATGGGGTTCTCCTGTTGCCCCGGAATTGTGGCCAGGGCCCAAGGCTGAGAGCAAACAGTGGGACGTTCCTGCCTCTAAGTACTGAGAAGACCTGAAGTGGGGGTGCCGGATGCTGCAGGGCCTGCTGTGGGGGCTGGAGGACTTCCCGTGCTGCTCCTGCCTACACCCCTTCAGGGGCTCAGGGGAGGAGAGGGAATGAAGTTGAGCCTTGGGGAAGGGGAGGAGCATGGCTTCCTTCTGCTCAGAGCCAAGGGAGGGCAACTTGGAGAGAGTCATGCATGAAGACAGGGCCCCTGCAAGGAGGCAGATGGGCGTTTCGTGTCCAGTTAGTATCTGCTTATCCTGAAGCCTGTCTGACTGGTGCTGGCCTGGCCCAACAGGCAGACACAGGATGGCAGAGAAATGGTGGAGAGCCTGCTCTCTCCCATCTGCAAAAGAGGAAGGTCCTCTGAGTCCTCCAGCCTAGAAAGGGGAGGTCAGGGTGGGGAGACCTGTGTCAGGAGCTACGAGGGCAGGAGAGAGGATGAGCAGAAGTGGAAGCCCCATCCAGGGTAGGAAGAGTGTGGGGGGGGGCCCATAACACTGCACTGGCCCTTCCTCCACACCCAAGCCAGCACTGTGATGCCACCACACAGAAGAACCAGGGGCAATAATCAGAGATGACCAGGGGTGAAGGATCAGAACATAGTGAGGTATGGTACTGGGGCAGGAGGCTAAAAAAAGGGGTGTCTCTACTGAGGATACCCCTCGTTCCTGACTACCCCTGGGACTATGGTGCTGAGAAGGAGAAGAGGGAGTGTCAGGAGCCAAACTATGTACCCAATGCCACATGGGTTGCCAGATAAAATACAGGATGCCCAGTTCTAGTTTAGTTTCAGATTAAGAACGAATACTTGTCAGGATAATTATATCCCAAATACTGCCTAGGACATACTTATCCTAAAAAAAAAATACATTTGGATATTTTTATTCCATATTCAATATCATTGAATATGAAATTAAAAATAACATTTGTGCTTGCTAAATCTGCTAACACAACCTTCTCTGTCCCCAATACTAATTCATGCATGTGTCCACACACACATATGTACCCTGCTCCCCCAGGCTGCTGTAGCCCTTTGATCTGAGTTTGAGACTGAGTCTTAACAACTAAGGAACTCTTCTAATAAACCAAAGAGGCCGGCAAGTTCAGAGATTGGGCCATGATGTCATAAAAACTCTGTGGCCCAGTGAGAAAGTTGAGGTTTCAGGAGAAGACAGGTGGGGGTATTTATTAGAAAGCTAGAACTGTTTGCTGGTTTTGCCCCTGAGTGTTGACCAACTACGCTGTCCTACAGTCTGAAGTTTCCCTTCCCAGTTCTTGTGGCTTGTTTATAAGGTGTCACTGTCTTTTCTGTCAGGGGCCTCATCTCCCTGTGGATCCTGACCGTTATGGTTTGGATATGAGGTCTCCCCCCAAAGCTCACGTGTGAGACAATGCAAGAAGGTTCAGAGGGGAAGTCATTGGGTTGTGATAGTCTTGACCCAATTAGCAAATTAATCCCCTGCTGGGATTAACTGAGTGGGAACTGAAGGCAGGTGGGGTGTGGCTGGAGGTGGTGGGGCATTGGAGGTGTGGCTTTGGGGTATATATCTGTATCTGGCAAGTGGAGATCTCTTTCTGCTGCCTGATGATCATGTGAGCTACTTCCCTCGGTCACACTCTTCTGCCACGATGTCCTGCCTCATCTTGAGCCCCGAGGAATGGAGCCAGCCTCTTATGGTCTGAAACCTCTGAAACCGTGAGCCCCTAAATAAACCTTTCTTCCTCTACAGTTGTTCTGGTCTGTCCTTTTAGTCACAGCAGCCAAAAAGCCAACTAAAACACTAACCCAAGTGGCTGAGACAGTGTAGCTGTCCCCTTGCGGGACTGAAGCCTTCTACGGGTTCCTGCATCCTCTTGCATCACTGAGATGACATGCATTTCCCTTAAAGCAGGGGCTGGAGCTGCAGGAGAGGGTCAGGTGGTAGCCAAAAGCACCCTAGGCCAATGACCATCTCACTCTTGATTAACCTTATTCAAGGCTTCAATGGTCCAAATGTGAAGCTCTCAGGTGGATACTCCAGACTCTGGGCCTCCTCTCCCCCTCTGCCTAACTCCTGGGTCATCTCTTTGGCCCTGTACACTTCTTCGGCGCCTCTACCACCATGTAGCCCACCATGAGCACTCACCCACCATGCTGGCTCCGTCCTCCGGGTGTTTGTCCTCCGTGAGCAGGCTGTTCCAGGATCTGGGTTACTGGGCTCTCTGCTGGATCTCCTGTCTGGCTTCCCGTCCTCTTACCCCAACACACAAGTGCATATTTGTATCTCCGCCCGACCCCATTGATGTCCTGCCAAGGAGACCTCTGGATGCAGGGCTGAGCCTTGATGACATCACCTCCCTGCCAATCCTTTCCTTTCACTGGACACTTGTCCAGAGTCAGTGGGATATTTCATGCTGGGGGATTGATTGGCAGAGGCCAGGCCCCTGGCAGGCAGCAGAGCAGAGCCAAACAGGAAGCTGAGAGTAGAGTGACAGCTGGGTCCAGAGGAGCTGGGCTGGGAGCTGGAGCTGGTGAGGGTCC